CCCCCCCCCCCCCGAGACTACTCGAGCGTCCTCTTTCCCTTTCTCGCTACGTGACAGATTTAATTTGACTAATTTCGGAATAAAACGAGGGAAAAGCTAAATTTCGAATAAAAAAAATTATTCCGTTACTTTGCGAAAATAACAAACGAATAATTCTTGATTTTTTTGTAAGTACCTGCGTACAATAGAAGGAATAAAGAATAAATGATTTTAATCTATCAAAAATCGGATACATCAAAATACACATTTCCGATTGAAATCATTATTTCTTACTCCTAATTCCTTAAGGTACATTTTCATGCTTTTCCACCGTTCATTTTCAATGTCAAAACAAATCACATGATAAAAATTGACGAAATCAAGCATCGATTTTAATAATCTATGATCTATTTTGACGCTAAAAATGAGCATCGGCATGAAAAGGTACCTTAAGGTTTGTTCGCATCACATATTCCACGTGTTTCTACTGTTCATAGTTCCTATTCACTCTAACGAATGCGTTTGAATAAATAGAAACTACGGTTGAAGGAAATAGAAACATGTTGGAGTATGTTGGAGTTCGCGACGCGAACAAACCTTTTAATATATACATTTGATTCGATTTCGCACTTTTGTGTATTCGCCGTGATTCGCGCAGTGATTCTAAGTTACTCCAAGTTCATACAAGTCATATCCATCAAACTCCATCGCAGTCCTCAGAGAATATCAGAGAGTATTGCAGAGTTTTGCGTGGTCTCTGATCTCACATGGTCATACAATAAAGTTTTACTTTGTTGTTTTCATTTCGATTCGTACACATTTATGATAAACAATTCTTATTATTGAAAATAAGATGCGATAATATATTAACTGTAAAACTGCAGAATTTTGTAAGAATAATGTAATTATAAATTGATTATACTTATAAAAGATTTTTTAAGGTATCGATGTCTTTTTATTATGTTGCTTTATTAAGTTTTATTTAAATGAAGCAGTACTTGAAACACGTCACGATTTGCTATATTTGAAATATATTTTTAAACATTGTTTATAATGATAAATGATTCATTAGGGTTGATTTTTTATTTTATTCATCTCAATGTTCTTGCAGCGTAAAAAATTTTATATTTCAAGAGAAAAATACACTAGAAAAACGAGATTCGGTCTCATGAGTAATAATAAGGAAGGATTTATTGCTGTACATGTTGGTATGTAATTATTTAGACTATATATTATTTAGACTATTTATAATTGATATTTGTACATAAATTATTATAACTTATTATTTTTTTATTGATAGGTGCTGGGCAGCACTCGGCGTCACTCAAAGAAAAATATCAAAAATTATGTCGTGATGCATGCAAAGTGGTAAGATTTTTAAGCAATTTAATAAGCTGTAATACAGATTTAATTTTCTCGAAATTCTATATTTTTCTTACAATTGTTTGTTCTGTCAGGGAGCTCAAAATTTGAAGTCTAATGGCAATGTATTAGATGCAGTGGTCGAAGCAGTAATGATATTGGAAGATTCTCCTATGACAAATGCTGGATTCGGGTCAAATCTTACATTGAATGGCACAGTGGAGTGCGACGCAAGTGTAATGGATGGTAGCAGTTTGCAGTATGGTGCAGTCGGCGCAGTTAGCGGAATAAAAAATCCTGTTTTGTTGGCAAAGCATTTGTGTGAGCAGCAGTCCATTAAGTTTGCATATGGCAGAATTCCTCCTAGGTGTTATTTTAGTTTTATACAAGTTTACAATTGTATTAAGAATTGTTATATTAATTTTTATTCTCTGTTAGCTTTTTAGTTGGAAATGGTGCACATATTTGGGCACACGAGATGGGCATACAAATTTTACCTCCAGAACAATTAATATCAGGTATATAAAATTAGCATAAGTTTTTAACAAACACAGAAATTGATTTATAATTATGTAAATTGTAACATTTATTTTTTATGTATATCACTTATTTATCTAATATATTTTTCAGTGAAAGCTCAAAAAATATATAAGCATTATAAAAGAAAATTAGAAAGCTGTAGTGCAGAGGTTCAAAAGGTATGAAGAAGTTATTTCTCATTTATACTTTAATATTATTTTAAATAAAATTTATTATTCAATTATTATGCTGTAGTGTGCTAAGAAAAGGATGGACACAGTAGGAGCAATATGTGTCGATAACAATGGAAATATTGCTGCAGCTTGTTCGAGCGGTGGTATAATTTTAAAATATCCAGGAAGAGTTGGACAAGTACAATTTCCTTATCATATCAATATTTATATAATTAATTTTTTAATATAAATTTTGTTATACATTATCATAGTTTACCAAACCTTTTTATTCTAATTCTAGGCTGGAGTATGGGGTTGTGGTACCTGGGCTTGCAAAGATACTTCGTATTCAGTAGGCACTAGTACTTCAGGTTGTGGAGAGCATCTTGTGCGCACCTCATTAGCACGTACAATCGCAGAAGCGATTTCAGATACATCTTGTCCAACTACAAGTTTGCATCGTGCGATGAGCACAGATTTCATTGGTGTGCCGCAAATTTAGCATAATTGCGTGGTAATTAATAAAAGCAATGACAATCTGTTTATACTTTCTCTTTTAGATTCGAAATTTCTCTGTGGACTTGAACAAAAACTTGGTGGTGTCATTGCGATACGATATTCTCCACAAGAAGGCTTAGGCGATTTTCTCTGGAGCCATTCCACAAATTCTATGATAATAGGTTATATGAATACATGTGAACGTGCATCAATGGTATGTATTACTTTTTTTTGCTTAACATCGTAAAATATATATATTATATATTAATTATAT